AATTGGTAAATTGTAGCTAACCTTAAACTTCATTGATAAAGACTTTGCATTAGCCTATTATGGAAAATGACATTTTATGGATACACATTAACAGGAGTACAAGAGTGAAGGAAAACTCAAATTCAGAAACTAAATCATTGATCATTCCTGCCATTGTCATCATTGCATAAGCAACAATCACAATTCCAATGGATAAAAGGTAGTAATCTTGGAGTTCTATCAATTAGCTCTTAAACCACACATCAAGATCAGGTTAATTAATTTTGTCCAATATCTTTAATTTAATCATAAACATCTGGACATTGTCCGTCGTTTAATCATTTCATTTTAGGATAAGATAAAAGAAACATCTTTATAGGTTAGTTACTGTCATAGTTTTTATAATAGCATGTATGAAGAAGCCACTTTACTAAGTTATCAAACTGACAGAAAGAAGATGTGGATTCACAAATAAGTTTATATCTTACTAGTTAGGTTATGCAATACAAATCAAGACTGGATTAATCATCAGAAAGAAATACAAATTACTTTCAACAAGTCTAGTAAATAAAAATGTCAACAAGATCAAGGACGAATTACCTTCTGTAAAAACCTTTCATTTGATCATTCAGTGTGCCTTCAAAACTTAAATGTAATACAGCAAGACCGAGAGCCAAAGTTTCACCGAACTCCAGCACCAAAATCTCATCGTCTTCAAAAAATTCTACTTGCAAAGGCTCCAATCCCTTTGATCACGTACACTCCCATTAATTAAATTACTCTTACTATTAAACATATACGAGAAGCAAAAAAAAAAATGAAATCAAATACTTACCTTTGACTCGCTTTTCGATTGGAATCGAACAGATTTGGAATCTACGGAGAGGTCTGCGGCATTGAGGACAATGAACTTGGTATCGGCGACGATATCGATAGAGATCTCGACGGTTCCTGAAAACTTACAGGCGATGAGGTCTGGTATGAGCTTGAGATCGTACCTTTTCGGGATAGCAAATTTTGGAAGCCTCGGTTGGCATCTAAATTGCTCGTACTTCTTCGCCATTTTTTAGATGCTTGCGTTCGAGAGAAGGTTAAATGATCTGTTTATGTACTTCTGTATTGTAGAGAGGTATTTATAGGGGAGGATTGCTCTTATCCGGCGGAGAAACTATTTTCCTGAGAGAGTTTTTGTAAAATAAGCTTTGATTTAAAAGAAAATAATAAATTAAACTAATTTATTTTAAAATAAAAAATAAGGGTGTGTTGTGAAATGGACTTGTGGGACCGGTGAAATAGGTTTTAACGGGCTGTATATGGTTGCCAATATTTAAGATAAATTCTTCAATTTCGTAACACCATGAAACACTTTGAACATGATATGTTTCAACAGGACAATAACCTTATATTAGGCATGAGGGAGGCCAGAGGGAGTGGTTAGCAAGGTAGCACCGCACCAAAGGGCTTGTAGCCCAGCGGTATCCGGTGTTGCCCTCCCTACTTGAGGTCGAGGGTTCAAGTCCCATCGTAGATATAGGTGGATTTAAGGTGTAGTTTAGGAGTAGGTTAGATTTGCTGTTTCAAAAAAAAAAAAAAAAAAAGCAAGGTAGCACCGCAAAGGAGGACGTGGAGCTGAAGTGGAGCTCAACGGTTTCATTACACAGTGTCTCCGTATTTCAGTAGGTCAAACTATCTTCTCTTTTCAGGTAGTGGTTGTTGTGCCGCAAAGGAGTAAAGAGGTGTTTGGTTGAGATACACCACTCCAAATGTTTAGACCGATATATATATATATATATATATATATATATATATATATATATATATATATATATATATATATATATATATATATATATATATATATATATATATATATATATATATATATATATATATATATATATATATATATATATGGAAAAAGTGAATATACCTTTAAGGGTATATAAGCTTAGGTACCCAAACGCTCATACTACGTCGTTTTGTATAATATATATACATTGTAGTTGTCCAATATTCTTTTATATATATATATATATATATATATATATATATATATATATATATAATATATATATATATATATATATATATATATATATATATATATATATATATATATATATATATGGAAAAAGTGAATATACCTTTAAGGGTATATAAGCTTAGGTACCCAAACGCTCATACTACGTCGTTTTGTATAATATATATACATTGTAGTTGTCCAATATTCTTATAATTCAACTTATAGCTTGATTAATTCCAACATATTTATAAATTCCATATTTATCTTCCTTTTACATAATTTTTATTTTCAAGTATAATTTATATAGTCTAGTAGGTGTTCGGCAAAAAGATGTGATGTAAGAGGAAGATTGTAGTGAAAATTTGAAAATGTTGAAAATAAATCAAGTTAGGGATTAAAGTTTAAGAACATTATAATGAATATATCAAACAAAACGATGTATTATGATGGGTTTGGGTACCTAAGCTTATATACCTTTAAGGGTATATTCACTTTTCCATATATATATATATATATATATATATATATATATATATATATATATATATATATATATATATTAGTTAAATATTGTGTTTATTAAATTTTTATTTAGTTTTAGCATTTTTGTAGGGTTGCAACATACAAGAATCTTCTTACTTTTAGCATTTTCGTTATTTTATTTTCACTTGAATACTCATCTACATGTACAATAACAATTTCACAGGGAAAATAATTTGAGATCAATAAAAACAAGTTATTTTTTAGGGTGCCTTGCGTAAAGTACCATGATGATTTTGTTGGTTAATTTGATCATTTCTCAAAATTTTAAATTCTCATTGTTCTTTTTACTGTACCATTCTAATAAGCATTTTTTTAGAACGAAAAAATCTAACATATCTCTAAACTACTTATTATTTAACCTATGTCTCAGGCGTGTAGCACCCGAGTCATCAGGTATGGAGTTTCTGACCTAGTCTATTTTCAATTCAAGTTAATATGGAGGAAGAGGGTGAGTAGGATAGTCGTACGTAATGTATGCATGGCGTACTCGCTGCATGCGTACCATCGGGGGATCCTCAACGTATGCTGGGCGTAATCAAGCCATGGGCAAACCCTAATTTTAGGGTTTTCACCCTATTTAAAGTGCTTAAGTACCTTATAATCTTTACCCGCTTTGCCTTCATTGTCCTTCTAGTGCAAATCTCGAACTCTTGCTTACTTGAGTGCATCTTTGAGCTTACCTTGGTTATTTGGTGATCTTTGTTGGTTTTGAAGAAAAAGGAAGGTTAGGAAGAAGGAGCTTGTAGATTTAGAAGTTTAGCACCATTTCTAGCTCATTAAAGGTATAAAGTTTGAACCTTGATCATTCCAAGCTTAGATTTAGGTTTAGGTTAGAAAATGGTATCTTTTGGTCTCATAGATGGATTCTTGGAGTATGAGCAACTTCAGGCCATATGAGCAATCCTTTTGGACTCTTGGAAGTGTTTTGAGTCATAAAAATCGGATCTTGATGGTTAAGCCTCAACCATGCAAGTGTTAGTAACCATCCAAGTGTGCTTATGGACTTAATTCATGATTTAAGCCCCATCATTGCATGCAAAAGCAAAAAGTTTGCTACTTTGTGGCTTAAGACGTTATTAGGGACTTGGATCTAAGTTTTGGACATTAGGACTTAATGGATTAAGTCATCGTAGTGTATTTGGGTTGGCAGACTAGTACGCCATAAGTACTCCGGTGTATGTTGCGCGTATACATCCCGACTCCTAGTCAACATCAACATACGTTGGTCATACAAGCCAAGTATGGTGCACGCCTAGAAGATATTTGGGCTTGTTTAGTGTTGGGCTTTGGACTTGTGTAAGTTAGGTATCGGGCCCACCTGACTATAGCAGGTCATTTTTGGGCCTAAGGCCGTGTTTGGGGTTCTTGATCCATATTGGGCCTTAAAGGCCTTATAGTTGGGCTTGGATGTTGTCACACCCCCGAACCAGGACGACAGAAACATTTGGGGGCAGATGACATCATTGTATTGTATCATCACAATTGAATATAAATGGACATAACAACCAAACGACATACATTAAGATTACAATCTTCATAAGTTTAGAATTTGTAATTGTTCAAATGTTACACAAAAGTGATAGAATTGTAAATTTCATAACGGAGCAAAATATCCAAAATCCATGGCTTGAGTATCTGCTTACTGGTTTCGTGAGAATACAAGTCGTTTTGAAAAAGCGTCAACATAGAATGTTGGTGAGTTCATAAGCATTAATATATATATATATATATATATATATATATATATATATATATATATATATATATATATATATATATATATATATATATATATATATATTAAAGTTGTGCACCCCTTAGGAACACTAAAATTCCTAAGGGGTTGGCATAAATGGTCCCTTGGTATAGGTTATATTGCATTTTGGAATTGTTTTTGGTATACGGGTATTTTATGGAAACTATGGTATTGTCTTTCCACGTGTTGGTCATCGTGCCCGGTCTCTCAGTATTTGATGTTTATCTGTTTTCGTTCTATTTGCTTCACGATCCTTCCACCACCTCTCAAATCGAGTCTCCTCTCTTCTTCTACCCTTTGCTTCCTCCACCGCCAACCACTGCCTAATCCTTTATGTTTGACGCCTGCATCTACAATTACCTTTTTCTCTTGGCATCTGTCGTTGCACCATTAGTGGTGGAGGCCGTTACGGCTATTAAGGTGGTGGCATACGACAATATTAGGGTGTTGGATGTACGTACTGGTCGATTACCTCTTGGTTCTATTTCCACCGCTTCTCTAACCTTAAGTAATCAGCAGGCGGCAGTGATGGTGGTGGTGGTGCTTCAACTGATTTGTAGGCAGATATGAAATTTAAGGATAAGCGGCTTGCTTCTTCATCCCCAGCCCTATACAAGCCAAGAAGGACAATGTTGTTGATGCTACCCAAGGATTGGGCAACAAGGTATCAAATTTTATACTTTACTTCAAAAATTAACAAACAAACTAACCCAACTTCTTGAATATATATTGCTAGATCATATAAGCTTGACACATGACAACCAATGAATAATAAACAAGTCTCATTTGAAGTTGCAGACAATTTGTTAGTGAGTTGGCTCATGTAGTTGCCCTCTTTGTAAAACAACCCTAATTGCTACTCCTCCCTGGAACCCATCAACTGACCATAGGAATTGAATGGATATTGTAGACTCTTCACATATTTGTTTATTTATATTTTTCATGATTCTTGACTTTATACATATTTGTTTTTTTTCTTTTTGTTAGGATTATGGAATGGATATTGCTGAGGCATTATGTCAAATGACTGGGTTTATTAATCATTCCAACATAAAGGCCATAGATGGCATTACAATTCAAGTACATATTTGATATTTCTATCAAATTTTAAGAAAGTATACAACATATTAAACAACATAATGTTTTTTGTTGTCAGATTAGCAATAAGGTGAAAAGATGTACTTCTAACAAGAATGATACGGTGGCAGTAGCAGTGACATCATCTATTCCTGTGGGCCCTCAGAGAAAACACAGTAGAAGCTAATGTTAATAAAATTAGGTAAATGGATTGTTTGATTTTTTTAGTTCGATGTGGTGGTTGCGTTTTTGCTAGGATTGAGGTTTTAACTGGTTGAATTGGGCGGAATTTGATCCGATTCGGGTTTTTGGATAGTTTTTTTTCTGATTGCATAAACATTGGTTGATATGAAAAGGTAGCAAAGTTAGACTTAAATTTACAATTAAAAGAAGAACTTACCTTAGGTACTTATATGAATGGTGTGGCTTCATTCAGGGCATGATTGACTAAAGAACTATTGTTTGGATTCGTACAGGGATGTCAAAGATCAAAAGAAAGTCAGGTCAGACCATGTCAATGGAGATTTCATTCACGACATGATTGAGTAAAGATTTACTATTTGGATTCGTACAGAGCTCTCAAAGATCCCAAGAAAGTCAGGTTAGACCATGTTAATGGAGATTTCAAGGTGTTCCCTACCCAATGTTATCCTGATAATTTTTGATTGTTCTAAAACAAGATTACTGATGGTAGGGTACAAGTTGGAATATGGTGCTATGAATATTTCACATAGATTTAATATTATATGTCTATTATAAAATTTAGTTCACACTTTTATGGTGTTTCTATTGCAGTAGTAAGCCAGCCAGATGACATGTGGTGGATCTGGTTCATCAAGGTTAGTTTGAAAAGTAGGACAAGGAAATAAAGAATATGGAAGAGGTAGGTGGTGGCAGTGGTAGTGGGGCAGGTGGTTTGGTGGGTTAGATGGTGAGCATTTCTATCATGAAGCACAACAGGTCAGTCTTACCATCTTACACGGATGGTCCCTGTGGTTTGGGGTAACCTGCGCGCCTAGTCCCTGAACAAGATTTTTAAGTCGGGTGATCCCTAATGTTAAAATTCGTAACCCGCCTAGTCCCTCATTTAACATTCCATCTAGTTGCTCCGTTAAAACACCCCACGTGCAAGGCACGCAGGGGCATTTTTGTCTTTTTAATATTATTGAGTTACCGCCATGTTGTATACAAAGAGGCGATCATTTTCTCAGTACTCCATCTTTCCGTTGAGAAAACCCAGACAAAAATTTCATAGTCAAGATAAGAAAACCCTAATCGTCATATCTTCGTCTCTGAAACACAATGGTGTTGTGGCGTATACGTGCAAGTATGGAGGAAATCGATGTTGGACGTCGTTATTGTAAGTATTCTTTCACTCTCAATCTTCTATAACTTTGATTTTGTTGAAACCTAAGATGAAGTGGGTTATTTCATAGGGGGCATCCGACAATCTTTTCCATTAGCTTGTACCATGGTGGAAAGTTCACCAAATTTCCTGGAAGAAAGTACATCAAAGGAAAACAAACGTATGTGGACTTACTCGACATGGATACTTTCTCAGTGCAAGACATTGATGAAATGATCGAACAGTTAGGCTATGTTGATGAAGGTATACCTTTTTACTATCACTTTAAACGACCTTTATCAGATTTAGATTTTGGGTTATTTGCTTTGGGTAGTGATCAGGATGTGAGATATTTGGGTACCTTCATTTCCAAGCATAAGTTGATTAAAAGTCTATATTAAGCATGGAAAAACCCAATTACATACTGTAACACCGTAAATTTCAAAACAAAATTTTCAAATTTTTATAAAACATCATCCACTTAATATTCATAAAACAACCATATTTGAACATTCAATCCAATTAATACAAAAATCCCAAGATCTCAAAATCATAAATCCCATGTGTGTGTACGGATCAAGCCGGCGCCTTCCCACAGTCGTCACTAGTACCTGAAACAAATAACACCAAACACTGTAAGCACGAAGCTTAGAGAGTTCCCCAAAATACCACATATAACACATATTAGCCACTCGAGGCTATAACTCTGTGGGTCCGTGCACCCAAACTCTGTGAACCCTCAGGTTCTAACTCTGTAAACATGCACAACATAAATCACAAAGAATAATGCAGCGCAATACATAACACAAATATAGCATACAAGCACTGTATCACATAACTCTAGTTACCTACTCAAGGTAAAGTATAGTGAGAAGACTCACCTCGCGTGTCTCGGTAATTTGTAAATCCCTGAAATCACTAGTGCTCGATCTCCCGAGCTATAGTCCTCCTATAACACAATACATCTCTAATTAACACTTTCCCAACTAAGGTTGACTATCCCTTAACAAGTCAACATAGGTCAACACTGGTCAATGGTCAATGGTCAACTTTGACCGGACTCGGCGAGTGCACTATAATGACTCGGCGAGTCTAAGTGCATACACTGATTTCCCTGGAATCCTCACTTGACACGTCGAGTATTCTCCTAACTCGACGAGTTGCACCTGGCATGAGTTGTGGGGCTTTCCACGACTCAACTCGTCGAGTCTCAAGAACAACTCGACGAGTCCCAGCTTGACTCAGTCCACCTGTCAACCCACTCTGACTATCCCTAACTCACTGAGTCAATCCCTCAACTCGGCAAGACCACTCGCTGAGTGGTGCTGGGCAATCTTCATGCTACTCGCCGAGTTTGTTCTTGGACTCGGCGAGTCCATGCCATGCAATGACTCAAACTCACTCCTGAGGTCAGATCTATTCCACTAACTCATAGATCCAGTCCTTCCAAGCTTATTTATCATGTAAAGTTGCTATCTTGATGTACATACAACATCTATATGACCATATATATGATGATTTAGCCCCAAATACCACCCACTCAAGGTCATAACCTCCATTGCTCTTCATAAAGCTTGATGAGTGAGGATCTCTGGACCTCTATAAATCCAGATCCAAAGCCTTATCACTAGAAAGGGACTATTTGGGCATCAAATCAACCCAACAAAGTCCAAAAGAAACCCTAAATCCAAATATACTTCATAAAACAGAAGATGAGCTGAAATGATACCTCAAGTTCGATGATCTAAGCTTCAAATCCACAATATAGAAACCTCCTTTGCTTCCTCTTGGCTAGGACCTCCTTCTTCTTGCTAAACAACACCACAAAGGTCAAGAATGGCTTCCTTTCTCTCTCAAAACGCTCAAGCACTCTAGGGTTCTCTCTATGGATTGGTGAGCACAAATGACGACCATAAGGCCCTTTAAATAGGTCTCAAACCCTGGGAATTAGGGTTTCATTACACAGTGTGGACTCGCCGAGTCCGAACGCGAACCCGTGTCCAAAATCGCGATCCTACTCGGCGAGTTCGAGCTCCAACTCGCCGAGTCTACTCACAAATCTAAAAAAAAACACCAATAATAAATACCTGGAAATTCCGGGCTGTTACAATTCTCCCCCACTAGAACTAGACTTCGCCCTCGAAGTCTCGCTCTGCAAATAACTCCGGATGCTGCTCGCGCATCTCACGCTTTGGTTCCCAAGTCATCTCGGATCCCTTCCGATGCTGCCACTGAACCAAAACAAAGGTACCTCCTTGTTCCTTAGAATTTTGATTTTCCGATCTCTGATTGCCACTGGTCTCTCAGCATAATTCAGGCTCGCATCCACCTGAATATCCTCTAATGGAACCACTGCTGACTCATCGGCTATACATTTACGCAATTGCGACACATGGAAAGTGTCGTGAATCTGCCCCAACTCTGTTGGCAAATCCAAACGATATGCTACCCTGCCTACCCTCGCGACTACCCGAAATGGTCTGATATATCGGGGCCCCAACTTGCCCCTCTTCCTGAATCGAATAACTCCTTTCCAAGGAGAGACCTTCTGGAGCACAAAATCACCGACCTGGAACTCAAGCTCGGATCGGAGTCTATCTGCATAACTCTTCTGTCGACTCTGAGCAGTCAGTAACCTCTGTCTGACCTGCTGGATCTGCTCTGTCATCTGAAGTATGATCTCAGTGTTTCCCATAACGCGCTGTCCGACTTCTCCCCAGCAAATGGGGGTCCGACACCTCCTCCCATACAACAGCTCAAAGGGTGGCATACCGATGATCGAATGATTGCTGTTGTTATAAGAAAACTCGGCTAAGGGCAAATACGAATCCCAACTTCCCCCGAAATCCAATACACATGCTCAGAGCATGTCCTCGAGCGTCTGAATTGTCCGCTCACTCTGTCCGTCTGTCTGGGGGTGATATGCAGTACTAAAATGCAGCCTAGTACCCAGCTCCTCATGAAACTTCTTCCAGAATCTGGAAGTGAAACGTACATCCCGGTCTTAGACAATCGAGATCGGCACCCCATGCCGCGATACTACTTCCCTCACATATATCTCTGCTAACTTTTCTGCGGAAGAACTCTCACTGATAGCAAGGAAGTGAGCGCTCTTCGTCAACCTGTCCACAATCACCCAAATTGCATCAACTCCCCGAACAGTCCTTGGCAATTTGGTGATGAAATCCATGGTGATCCGTTCCCACTTCCATTTAGGAACCTCCAACGGCTGCAACTTACCATGCAATCTCTGGTTTTCGGCCTTAACCCAACGGCAGGTTAAGCACCTCTCAACAAACCACACAACATCCCTCTTCATACAGGGCCACCAATACCCCCTCCTCAAATCCAAATACATCTTAGTGGCCCCAGGATGGATCGAGAATTTCGACCGATGAGCTTCTTCCATCAAAATGGTAGGCGTTCCTCCCACAAATGGTACCTAAATACGCCCCTGAAAAGTCATAAGCCCCCGGACATCGGTAACGAACTCCGATACCAACCCAACAACTCGCTCCCTCTTCTGGTTTTCTGACCTCACTACCTCATCTTGTGCTCCACGAATGGTCTCCAACACCGGAGTCATGACGGTCAACCGCAAACATACATCTTGCAACGGGGCGCTCTCCGTCCTGCGACTCAGGGCGTCGGCTACCACATTAGCCTTGCCCGGATGGTACAGGATCTCACAATCGTAATCCTTAACCACATCCAAGCACCTCCTCTGCCGCATATTTAGGTTGGGCTGGTCCATTAAATACTTCAGACCCTTATGGTCCGTGTATATCGTACACCGAACCCCATACAAATAGTGGCGCCAAATCTTGAGGGCGAACACCACT